ACTCAACAAGGGTCCAATGTCCTGGACGTGATTCCCTTCGACCTGTTCACAGCCACAGTTGGAATCAAACAGTGAAACACACTAACTTAACAAACATGTTGTGTCTCCGGATGGGATCAGGCACTTCCTGGTACCTTGGTCATTCACTACTTTGTTGTTAAGGGGAACACAATAATCCTATCTTTGCGCGTACGTGCGCGTTGACTAAGTGTGAGTACAGAGCCGATCTGAAACGGTCATTTCAGGGAAAGAATGACACAACTGTTGTTCCCCTCAGTAGTTTCATGATGTGGCATTTGAACTGACCATGTTGTTGTTGCAGTTTTCGACCAAAGACACCATGCTGCTCTAATGAATGAAATTGAAAGTGAAATGACCTCTGACCCCGATGTGTGCAGTGTGCCTGCGTGCTGGACTACCCAGCATGCATTCAGCCTCAGCCCAGCTAGACAGCCCCAGATGTCAGGCAGCAGTGGTGGCTTATAGGGCCCTTGATGACCGGTCTCTGCAAGGACACGCTCTCCCTGAGGCCCACTGCCAAGTCCCAGGCTGCACAGGGTCGAGAGGGTCAACATCCCCATTCTACCTCCTGTTTCCTCCCCAACAGTACTCACCACCATACAGCAGCTAAGCAGCTATAAATAAACAGGCTGTTCATGTCAGAATTTATACGTGGTTGAATTTTCCAGTTCTATAGTTCTTTTTTCTTTTGTGGGAAACTGGATGGTGTGCTCAAATCTTGTGGGACATTTAGAGAAACCCATTCGGGCTACAGCACCTGTAGGTGTGCTTGTGTATGAAATGCTAATCAACAAAATTCAGAGTCAGGGCAGGAGTCAGTCAGTTGGTTGTTAACAGAGCCCAGCTGTTCAAATACTTACATTCTCCCTGTGGTGTGTAATTATATACTGGTTCTTGATGCATTGCACTTGTAATAATATTCTGAGCACATTGACAATAACCTACACTTAAGGATCTTACTGTAACACCCAGGGAGGACAAAGTAATTGGGATAAAAAACTATAACAGGGTTTTGTTTTTGTTTTTTTCAAAGAATTGGTCATGTGACCAGAAGGTTGTCGGTCCATATCCTGGTCCAGCAGGGCCATGCAACATTATGCTGGCACCAGAAAGTGTTGTCCACTGCTTCTATGTGGTGCGTGGTCTGAATGCGGAGGACAAATATCGTTGTGTATATACTGTATGTACAATGATATAGTATGCAACAGTTACGATCCTAAAAGTTTTTCCGGTCCAGTGCAATAGAACCAGAAGAACAGAACAGTGTCAGGTTTTATAGATCTGTATAACCTTTTAGCTTGATTCATGAAAACAAGGGAATATCAGTGTCTTCTTTCAAATGAAACAAATGTACAAAGGTAGGACAGTGAATCTGTTCCAATACTGCGGTTATTACCTACAATGACATCACACTGCTGTGATTTGTCCTTCTGTTCAAGCAGTATGCACATTTTTCAAGGAAAGTTTATTTATCTTGTTAAATAATACATGAATTACGATTCCACAATAATGATTAATTGTGATTAATCTACAATGTACCTTTGACAGCCCTTCAATGAAAACAATGTCCTCTGAGTACTTTGCTGTGTCCTCATTCACTCATCCGCGCGCCCTTTTAAACTACTGACCTCTGCAACCTCTGTTAAAGCTCTCATAATGGCCTGTCTTTAATATTCACTCGACGGAGGTGATAGCGTTGTGTGGACAAACATCCTGTTAGTTTGACTTGTCAAACAGCTTTTACAAGTGTGTGTTCAGTGAAGAGCAGAACAGAGAGAGTTTAATCCCTGCTACCTCTTATCAGTGTCTTCAAACAGGTTGGAGGTCAGCCCAGTTTTTTTTTTCCTGATGGTTTGCTCCTTCGCTCTGATTGTAGCTAACAACAATGTGCACGGGGTCTCATTTAAACTTTCATTGATGAAGCTATGGGGCTGAAAGTGATTGTTTTTCCGTGACCGTTCCCTTTAGGCCTTTAGGTTCCCTAAGACTTAAAAATGAACTTGTCCGCAAGATTTTTATGTTGAACAGACCACAGTGTCTGTGATCGTCAGTCCTTCTTTGAAATTTCTGACAGAACAGAACTCTTCAACCTTGACCATGACCTGGATGACTGAGAACCTTCATAGACATATCCACCAGTTCTGAATGACATCACGAGTGATCACCACAATTGACTAGCAACCTTTTCTAATCACTATCTTTGGGATAATGATGCTTTGACCGTCGTTCCCTTCCCCTCCTTGGTTCTGCATGGGCACAATGTAAACCCAGTGTTTCAGTTTGTGGCAGTTCTGGGGCTACATTTACATTTACATTTACAATAGCAGAATAACAACATATGTCAACTGCATGACACAAATGCTTTAAAAAAATATACTTTTAGGGCACTTTCAGTGAAGTAAGTCAAACTTTGAATGGAGTTCATTGTTCTTTCCACTTTTAGCTCATCATGACAGTCATCAGAGGGCACGACCTGAGGTCAAACACTCCATGTCGACTAACCCCTTCAGACGCTATATTTATAAACCTGATGCGAGTGGAGTGGATACCATTAAAGAGGAGGAAGTGAGCATTGATCTGTTCCACTGTGCTGCTCTGGCCACTCCATTTGGCTGTTCCTTCCCCAGGCAGTTTAGAGTAATTGCTCGCTCAAGGACTTCAGAGGCCTGATGGCTTTAACCCACCAGGGCTTAGTCTGTGTTTGTCCCAGTTAAGCACCAGCCCTGAGTCACAGAGCAATATGTTTTAGGTGATGATGTCATCAGGGGCAATCAGGCCCTGCTTTTGTTGGACATGTTGGCAGTAGGTTTTGAATGCTCTGCAAATATGTGGACTCTTCGCGGTCATAGGATTTCACGTCGTACATTATTAATACCCCTCTTTTGGGATCGTTCCCAGCACAGCCTTTTTGTGTTTGATAAAAGCATTGTGTCTGCATCCAATATCTCCTCGCATTTAGACTTTGATGCGCTGCCCACTGCACCACCAGGTGCCATCCCAGTGTTGTGAGCAGGCAGTGAGCTGCAGTGCTATAAAACACTCCTCGTGATCAGGCCAAAGGTTTGCTCAGCTCGTTCTCTGCTGCACCCCGATGAGCAACGTTAGCAGAAACAGTAGCAGAGCCACAATCTGTGACTTAGAGTGGGCAACAGAGAATGATAAGCTTTCCGATCTCCAGTAATTATCCCACACTTTACTACAGAGCAGGTTCAGAAACTGGACGACACGTCTGCTATAGACAAATAATGTTTTAATGTAGTCATAAGAAAATCAGCTTTATTTACCGTAGAAATAACGTAGGGTGTTCGGTCCATTTAAGTCCATGCACTACAGCCAATGAAAGAAGGCTATACAAAAATGGAGAGAGATAAAAAAAAAATGTCATCAACATGTTTCCAATGGTCAAGAAATGGACCTCAAAAAAACGCCAAAAAACAAACCAACTATTTCAAAACCCTAGTAAATTCTTTAGTGCCCACGCACTAAAGAATTTATGTGTTGAAATGCAAGCTGAACTCTGTTAAGAACAACCTGGAGAAGGACGATTAGGACTGGAAACAGATTAACAACCTGAGCCAAGGACAAGAGCTGTCTCCTGAAGTCAAACTGAAAGACAAAGCCCTGGTTTACCTAGTGGTCATAAAAAAAATATGAACAGACAAGAGAAAAGTGTTGTGGAAAAAAAAATCAGTCTGAAAGGTTTTGGAAACCATCTGAAACATCAAGTTTATAGGTAGAGATAAAGGATCATGATTTGTTTATAGGTAGAGATAAAGGATCATGATCATGATGAAAACATTAGTGTTTTTGAGATAAAGGTGAGAATTGCTGACGAATCAAAAATCTGTTTTCCCACGTACTGGGGGGTAAACCTTTTTTTCCCCAGAGAAATAATCATTTTGACTTCATTTATACCTGTCCCTCCCTCCCCCCAAAACCGCATATATCCATGTACTTTGACTCAGGTGTACACAACCGTACAGTCGAGCCCAGCGATGTCCTCCTGCATTATTTACAACCAGGTGTATCTGCATGCAAATAGCTCATTCTGAGACAATCTGATCACACAGCCGAGCCTTCGTCCAGTCTTTTCCCTCGCTCGGTGAGAATATCGCCAGGGTGGAATGGAAACTTCATTTTGCAGGGGCTAATATTAGCCCGGGCCTCTGGAAAATTCCTTTTAAATGATCACAAGCTGAGAAAAGGCAAAGAATTTGTTTAGTGTTTTGCCTGACAGTATTCTCTGCATACACAGCAGTTGGGTTCTTTTTTTTCCACGTGTAACGGCACACAGGAGGGTCCTGGGAAGTTTTCGAGTGTGTGCGTGTGTCATGTTGCTGTCTGGCAGCTGTGAGTTTCGTCACTTTCCGATGTCCAACATGCCATTACAGTTACAGGGAACTTTAACCGTTTATTATTTGTTATTTGTAGGATGGTCCTGACAGTTCTTACAAACTGATATGAATACCAGAACTTTTTATTTGTGTTCTCGTTGATACCATGTACCAGTACTGATACTTTGTAAGGTTGGGTTTTCAGTTAGCTCCCAATGAACTAGAAGGCAGAGTTAAACAGGTGTTACAGCTCTGTGGATAATTGGGCAGTGTGTGTGTGTGTGTGTGTGTGTGTGTGTGTGTGTGTGTGTTTGTGTGTGTGAGTTCAACCCATAGAACTGACACTGCCTTCACATCAGCCCAGTGCGAAAGTTCCACAGCACAACAAACACCGAACAAAAACATTACAAAGTTTCAATTAACTCATGATTCACTTACTCGGTGTGAAATCTGAACTTTTTTAGAAATATTTGCATGCAGATATTCTTCAACAACTCTCAGTTTTTTTTTTAGTTTTTATAGCAGTCATGCGTGTTTTGCTAGTTAGGTTGTGATGAATGTGAGCACGGTGTGTTATGGTCCCTGACTTTTCATCACCACATGAGCCTGATGCTGTACCGTGTTCTTTCATATCTGTGTGTGCAGGAAAATCCCACTTAGCCATCGTCCAGAGAGTCAACAATGAGGGTGAAGGAGACCCTTTCTACGAGGTCCTGGGCATCGTCACTCTGGAGGATATCATCGAAGAAATCATCAAGTCGGAGATCTTAGACGAGACAGACTTGTACAGTAGGTTCTCTGAAAGATGCACAGGCTTTGTTTTTTAAGGTTTAATGCATTTGAAGAAGGAAGTGGTATAAATGTTCGAGCCTCCTCAGATACTTTCAAACATGTATTTAGTACTTTATGAAAGTGAAAGTGAATTATTTGTCATTGTGACACAGCACACAACCAAATGTGACCTCTGTTTTTAACCCACCTGGAACCTTCCAGACCCAAGTCTGCTTTCTTAACCACTGCCCCTTTATATATTTACATATTTTAAGTACTGTTGAAGTGGCAAATTATTTGAGACCATTTCTAGAAAAGCGAATCCATCAGCATAACTTGCAAACCAACTAGTGTTTGACATCAACATTATTGACAAGGCAGAGGACAAAGAAAATATTTTTACAGTTTTCAATAACGAACCTGATTACATTGTTAACACAACTGAGTAACCGGTAATAGGTGGGTGGGTATAGTGTACCGTAGCTCCTACAACTACAAGCTGGAGTCAGCGTCACTAAAAAAAAATCTCCGTAGATTAAAACAAAAGGTGAAGATTCACAGAGAAGTTTTTGCAAGTGTATAAGCCAAGTGTGGAAACAGCTGCTAGATGTGCATGAAAAAAGAAACGGCCAGAAAACGCAAGTAGGTCCAGACTCGGAGTGTGCAGTCGTCTGTTTCAGCCAATAGTGGAAGGCAGCCAGAAGAGACAGCGACATGGACAAGATTAACAAAAGGTGCAAATTGATTATTTACAATGGTATGAAGGACAGGCACCTTACTGTAGATACGGCACAGAGGCCTCTTCCGCATGGATCGGTGGTCTTCCAGCAGGCCGCACTCTGCACTGGCCCGACTCTGTCGTCACATGCAGTGTGTGTTCTGCACCCCAGACCTGGAGAATCAATCAACGCTGACCACTGTTTTTTTTTACAACTCACTCTTCAACACAGCAAAGTGTTAGCAAATATAACTAATATATAATATATTTCCTCATTTCTTAAACTTAATCCAGTAAGTTACACAAACCAATATCACAATCATTCCAAAAATATTTTTTAATCCATTACTAGACATTTTAGGTGACCTAATTCGACTGCAGGTGGGGTCCCGACCCCAGGGTTTTGAAAACACAGCAGTAAAGTCAGTCATATATTTTTAATTGAAATTTAGCAAAAAGAAAATTATGATTTTTATATTTCAATTTTGTTATAGACGATATAACATTATATATACTGTATTATGTTAACAGTGAAGATTGGCAGACATGGGGGGCTCATGCCAGTCTATTTGTTGATGTAATACATATGGCTCTAAGTTATGCTGAGAATGTGCTAAAGCAACAACATAGCCCCCTATAGTTCTCCTTGGGTTCTGAGAAGGACACCACAGTTTGGTTTCTGGAAAGCACTAAACTTTGGGTGACTCAAGTTTAGTCACCCTGTGACCCGGGACGAGTGGACCAGTGAGTGTGGACGGGTGTAGTTTCATTATTGTGTTAGTCCGTCTCTGAAGAAAAGTTTATGTACAGTCCAAGTGTCAGACCGACCTTTTGATTTTCCCTCTTCAGCTGACAACAAGACGAAGAAGAAAATCACCCATCGGGAAAGGAAGCAGGATTTCTCGGCCTTCAAGCCCACGGACAATGAAATGAAGGTTAAAATATCACCTCAGCTTCTGCTGGCTACCCTGCGTTTCCTAGCAACAGGCAAGTGCGCTGTATTGCTGCTTGACTTCCCCCAGTGTGCCCTCAGCGCCTCACTGTGGGGTGTGTGTGTGTGTGAGAGGGAGAGAGAGAGAGAGAGAGTTGTTTGTGAGTGCATGTGCCCGTATGGGCTTTGAATTTTTGGGCAAGTGGATGAAGGGAGGAGTGAGTATGTGTGTAGAATGAGTATCTGGTGTGTGTGTGTTAGTGCGAGGACTCACAACAAGCATGCGGGTATTTGTGTGTGTGTGTGTGTGTGTGTTTGTTGGGCCTTTGGGATCGCGTCCCGGGGTGTCTGTGCAAAAGCAGGCGTCCATTTGCTTGCATATCATGCACCGATGGTTGCAGCTTTAAAAACACCACCCTGTTTGCTTACTCTCCTGCCCTCTCTGTGACATCACATCCTGAGTTTTCCGCCCGCGATGTTCGCTCTCACACACGTTCCTGTACTTAGTGTAACTTTAAACATTTCCCTCGCTTTTCCCTGATATTGGATTTGTGAACAGGCAAAAAGAAAATCCACTACTTCTACTATTACTACAGCAGCAGCAGCAGCGGGGGCGGCAGAGAGCGATGCCTGACTGCAGTTGGATTTGCTTCAGAACTTTGACCTGGCAGCTGAGCATTAATTAAGTTCCTTTTACTGAGTTTAATCCTAGTGGTGGAGCCAGCAGCCAGCTGACCCACATCACCTCTGCAGAGTTGAGGAAGATGAAGGTTGAAGCACAACAGTCACGTTTGGGAATAAGAACACCCGTGCTCTGTTTCTTGTTTTTAGCCGTCCTGTTAGCTGCCGCTGCTACTGCTGTGTCATTCTCACTCTGTTCATCTGAAAATGTGCTTTTCCTTTTCATCTGTGAAAATGTAACGGTGTTGTTGTCAGACGACACAACAGCAAAGACACGTTGTGTCAGTTATGGTTAGCTGGTTATGGTTCACATGCTAACGGCTTAGTTTAGTGCATGAGTATGATGTCAGGGGCTTGAAGTAAATGGTCAGCCAATAGAAATCAAGACATGGTCAATCGATCAAACCAGACTTGAATTGTCGACTGGGAATCTTTTTGGTCAATGTTGAAACCACGATTATTTACCACATTGTTCACTGACTCTGGAACGTCATATTTATTGGACATAATGAACAACAGTGTGATGTTTTCCTTCATTGTGTACCCTCCTGTTGAACTGTGCCTAAAATAACCGAAAGTATAATATTCAGTTATTACAAAAAGTAAATTCAATCGGCCGTTATAAAACAGCAGAGTTTTAAATATCAAGACTAAAATTAGCCACGCATGGTTATTAACTTTACCTTCTCTTCTATTTCTCACTGTCTTATTATGACAATATAATGTTGAACAAAAGTATATTTAATGTTTGCCGAATCATCAATCCTTTTATTCCTCCTATATTGCCAATATTTCAACTGAAATGATTAGGTTTCTACTTTGTGATTCGATTGGTTACGTAAACATCTCATGCTAATTTGTTCGGCACGCTCTTGTCCTGCATTCTTTTAAATGCAGATGTACTTGGCGGACTGAGACTCGTCACACAAACACACTGCTATGTGGCTGAGTGGAATTTTATTGTTATTATTGTTGTGATTATCATTTTTTTTAAATAATAAAGTTATTTTATTCCACTTCTTCCCAGAGGTTGAGCCTTTTGCACCGGTGCAAATGTCAGAGAAGATCCTGCTGCGCCTGTTGAAGCATCCAAACGTCATCCAGGAGCTGAAATATGACGAGAAGAACAAGAGGGCGACAGAGCACTACCTCTTCCACAGGAACAAGCCCGTGGATTATTTCATCCTCATTCTGCAGGTGGGTGAACGAGCTTGAACGATAAAATTATGCAACGCTGGAACTGGTACTGGTATACTAAACTGGTCTGTAGTTGTCAGTGTGACATTTCTAACACCCACACATGAACAGACAGACTACAGTCATTTCTCCTAGACTCAGGATCCAGTGCACAAAACACTGTTGCTCACTCTGGTCCTGGCCGTGCACTTTTTCATTGCAAAGCCACTGACCCAACAGAAGTACACTGCGGGGGGGGGCATTCCTAAAGAGGTATGCTCGGTATGACTGTAGTGCAGACCAGTTTGGTTTCATGTCCACAACAATGCTGAAGACCAACAGCTCATTAGTGATGCATCAATGTGGTCGGCACCTCCAGCTACATCACCTCCACGTACACTCACATCACTGTCACGAGGGATTCATTCACAGCTCTAAGAGTTTGTTTGTTCACAACTGGATGCAATGAAAATAAATTGGTCCGAGAGACTGACGCTGCTGCTTCCTCTTCCTGTCACAGGGGAAAGTGGAGGTGGAGGCAGGAAAAGAGGGGATAAAGTTTGAAGCTGGACCATTTTCCTTCTATGGGATGATGTCTCTGACAACGTCACCTGGTAAGACCTTTGACCTTTGTTTATGGTCCACACAGCTCCTGACTCATTTTCACTGATTGGGTTTTTGTGATGGTCCTGTTTCTGTTGTGTTCTTTTTATCCAGTTCTATTGTGAAACGGACCTGCTGTCACCTTATTTGATGAATGATCATGTTTAGTGAGGGCTGGCCTGCGGTGACGTCATAAGAAAGCGTCACCGAGCGATATGTCCTAATCTCCCCCTTGTTCATTCATAAACTATTACGTCGTTTACGGCTCTGCTTCCTATGGGAGGTGTGATCTTAGAGACACCTACTGGTGAATCCGTAGAATTACTCTGTTCCCATTAGCCATGGTTTTAAGAAATGTTTTTGGCCGTTTCTGTTGAAATGTTCTCATTTTGGCACGCACACAAAACAGATGTAATTTAGCAATTATATATTTAAAAACAGCTGAAAGAAAAGACGAAATCTGCCCCAAAAGTGGCTAAACATTTTCTTGAAGATTTGCTTGAAAGCACAATGACAGTAAAAGGTGGTAAACAGATAGAAAAGAACCAAGTTAGAAATTTTGTGGCTAATACTGGCCTGAAAGTCAACTAAAAGTTAGACAAAGAAACGACAAAACATAGCAAAGCATTAACCAAAAAAGCTTGATAACATTAGCCAAGATATAATAAAAGGTAAGAACACAACTTTTGTTGGGCTTCAGTTGAATGTAAGCTAACTGAATGTAGACGATTTCAGCCAGGTTACGGACCAACAGTTTTGAAATGTTGAAGTATTTTTTTTATCTGACCTGAGTCTAGCTCCACATTTCTTACATTATTTTCAGATTTGACACAGAGTTTTAATGGTGGCAGTAAGAACCTGCATCATATGAATGTCAAGATCAAATTTGAGATTTACTAAGGTCTTGATGAAGGACTCTATTATCAGGCTTTTAGTGCTTCAAGAGAACAATACAATACAGATCTGTTGTTTTCCTCTAAATCTCCAGGTGACAATGTGCTAAACATGTAAGGCTTAACGTCACAGAGGAGTGCAGAAATCACGTTGATGTTCATGAAGATCAAATTATTTCACATGTAAAAAGTTTTGACTCCTTCGTGTAACTCTTCCAGGCTCCAGGTGTGGGACCTTGAGAGTACTTGAAATGTGTTTGTAATTGAGGAGATGTTTGACTTTGGACATAGGACATGTTTGCGTTTACAGAGAATTTTTTTTTTTTTTTACATCAGAGCTTCATTTGATGTGGTGATGACATAACACTGAAAAATTAATTTGTCCTCCTTTCTTTTTTCCCCTTGTTTTCTTCTTCCTCATTTTTGTTTCTTTTTTTTCTTTCCTTTTCTTTTGCTTCTTTTTCCCCCCTGTTTTTATTTCCACTCTGTCGCTTACTTCTCTTTCTTTCTTCCTTTCTTTTTTCTTCTCTCCACCCAGTCCCTCTGTCCCTGTCTCGAACCTTTGTGGTCAGCAGAGCTGAATCATTAGCAGGATCTCCAGGTACAGTGATTTTAAATCTGACTTCTTTACATTCTAACTCTCCACTGTTCCGTCCATTAACCTCTGTATTTTTACATGTGGATTTTTCTGTGTGGATTTTTTTCCCCTCTCCCTCACGTCTGTGGTGTCTCTTTAAGAACCTTCCTCTGTGTGAGACTGTCTTTGATCTCTACTTGAATGCTGCCTACACTGTACATTCACTGTACGAATGAAAGAGAGAGAAGAGGAGAGAGAATGTGATTCAGGCTGAGACTTTTACACCCCTGAGCCATTAGTTAAGTCTTTGAATGGTGTTGGAGACCGGAGGCCCCAGAGTGGACCAGGCTCCGCCCCGCTCGCCCCTAACCTTTAACCCGCCTTCTCCATAAACAAGACCTACAGCTACAGGCCCCCTGCTGGACACCACTGAGTGCACATACAAAAACACACCCATACACATATGTTCTCATGCACAGACACATGTACTGCACTATAATGACGGTCACAGACAGACAGACCAACACTCATCCAGAAGTGCAGCATAAGAGATTAAGGAGTTACCCACAAAGCATTGCTTCACAGGGTTTGCACAGTGTAGTGTTATCGTGTGTGGCTACGTGAATGTAAAGGCATTAATGTGTGAGGCCGCCATCTTTTTTTTTTTTTCTGACCTGGCCCCTGTGGCCCCCAAGAAAGTAGAATACTAATCTGCAAGAGTTCACATGCCAGGTCTTTGGCCCACTGCGCTCAGTCCTCGCAGACACACATGCACAAACACAATTTGTGCATTTCACTTGCAGTCACGCACACACATATTCCTACATGGGATTACATACATTCCAGTCGGTGTAGCAGCATTAGCTTTGGCCAAGCTGTTTCCACTTTGTTGTGTGTGATTTTCACCAGGCTTTTCTTTAAGAAGTGGAAAACATAATCTGGCTTTAATTAAAAAATAACAGAGGGGGGAAAAAAAGCGCACACAGAAAAACAGAAAAATGTTTTGTGTCGCAGCTCATAGATTTGAAGGAACACTGGGGACCACCAGTTCTACACCACTACTGGAGGTGAAGTCAGGTTGTTCTGTGGGTAACCCGGGTTCTGTAATCTGTGGTCTTGGATCGGTCTTCTGAAGTGCTGTGCTTGTCTTTAGATCTCCGAAGTCACATGGTTATACTTGGAAGTCCAAATCAGTCACAACGCCACCTAAAGTCCCCTCTGACTGTTACATCACCTTTCATTGACGGTGTTCTTCTGTCGGGAATAATGTCCATGGAACATTTCGAAGATTTCGTCCTTTACTCTGTCTGTCTTCTGGTTCCACAGACTAATTAAGAATTCAATAGCTTGAAGGTAGCAGCCCAGGTGGACGGCAGCCTTCTGAAGCGCAAACTGCTGCTAGTCTCTGGTCATGCTTGTTCTGGTTCCTCTACTCCTGGTGTCATGTGCTGTTCATCCATGAATGACGAGGCATCGACTGTGAACTATGAGATACTGCTCAAACTTTATTATCTGTGAAAAACACACATCGCTCTCTTGTTCTTCTCCTTTCTCCACTTAAAATCTCTACGTTTACACTGATCCACCTGCTGGTCACATCTGGTGACACACTTATGTTACATATAAACACATAAAAAAACATAGAAAAATGGGGAAAATGACCAAGAAGGCAGGGAAAAAAGAAAGTGTGGAGACAGGAGAGGAGGTGGAGACAGAAAAGGTCCACCAATAGCAGTAAAGTCAGACAAGGAGCCAGGAGGAGTACAGGAGGAGACATAGATTTTATCAGTCCAGTCAAATGTAGAAAAAAAACTGCAGGAGTTCCCCCAGCAGTCCAGGCCTGGAGCAGCAAATATGAGGTGTAGTTCTGCTTCACCTAAGAAACAGTTTTAGTAGTAAACTCACTAAACATCTTGTTGTCATCACACAGAAAATAAATCTCCTCCCCGGCCGTTTGGACTCAACCACTCAGACTCACTCAACAGGAGCGATCGTATCGACGCCATCACCCCGACACTGGGCAGCAGCAACAACCAGCTAAACTCATTCCTGCAGATCTACATACCTGACTACTCAGTCAGAGCGCGATCAGACCTGCAGTTCATAAAGGTTAGAATTCACGTTGACATGTCAGACTTGTCTCCTTGAGGGGAGACATGTCTGTTTTTCGAGGCTTTTTGTGTCATGTGACACATGTGCTGCCTGTTTTCCAGGTAACACGTCAACAGTACCAGAACGCCGTTATGGCTTCACGGATGGACAAAACGCCACAGTCCACAGAGAGTGAGTTCACTAAGATCGAGCTCACACTGACAGAGCTCCACGACGGAGTGGAGCCTCCACCCGTCGTCCCCACCACAGCCAGCACAACAAGCTCCTCCCCCAACCCTGTGTCCATAGCTGTGGCTAACGAGACGTCCCACCTGCTCACGCCGCAGCAGAACTGTGTGAGCCTCAGCAGAAGCAACCACAGCGCTCATAACGAGGGACCTGTTTAGCCTCCGGTGGAGACGCAGACACTCCACCCTGTCTTGTGGATAAATGCGGAGCAGCATCAGTGAGATTGGAGAAGATGAGGGAATGTGGGGGAGCAGAGGCAGGTGGGAATAAAAGGGCGATTTCCTGCTCTCACCCGTAGCTCCCAGTCCGTTAGTCAGTCTGTGAGACCCTTCCATTGAGGTCCAGTGGGGGGAAGGACAGGTGCTGCGACACCGGAGTCCCCGCTGTACCACACTCTCTTCCAGAGGGTGCACTCGGACAGAACCTGGGACTGAGCTACTTTTCTGGGACAATCTGAGACTTTTATAGTGGTGACTTGGTCTAAAACCAACCACACACACATACACACACACATACACACACCATACGTCTACTTCTCCTCAGGCCAAAGACATTGGTCCCCCTTTTTACACTGGACACAACAAGTTACTTTTTGCACATATTTGAACACACAACACACCACTACACACAGACCGTGTGTCTTCAGCATCTTTCAGGGAAGCTCCCATCAGCACGAAACGCAGACGACGACGCTCCGTCTGAGACTGCACCAAAAAAAAACAAAAAACAAAAAAAACAACGCTATGAAAGAAAACCACGAACCAAGAATGTTTTTCCTGTATTTATTTATTTTATAATAATGTATGTATATAAGTCTGCGAGCATGTCCACTGAGGTGTGTCCTTGTCCTATCAGAGGAGGACGTGCTCCATATATGGAGATGAACATCCATTCATGTACATGAGGAGGTGAGGCGATGTTTATCGCAGATATTTTTACTACGATCTTAAATCAGGCCTACATGGTTAAAAAGTATTTTTTTTCACCTTTAAAAAAAAATCACACGAATGCCTTTAAGAGAAGTCATCAAATTAATTATTTTAACAAGTGCAATGAACCACAATTTATTTAAGAGATGATTATGAAGAATAGAGGAATCACTGTATAGTAAATTGACAGATATATTTGTATGTATGTACTGTATGTGTATGTATTTTTTTCAGGTTTTGTTTTTTTTTTTTTTGGACAATTTGCTAGACTGCCGCCAATCGCAAGCAAAGCTGACTTTCTGACTTTCACTGTTGTCATCTCTGTGATGTCCTTTGAATCATGTGACCTCACATGAATAGAATTCGCCCATGGGGGGAATCCTGACACCAGTGTAGGTCCAGGCAGTTCAGTGGATGGACGGGGGAGTGTTAGTGATGTCCGAAATTAACTTTTTGCCGATATCCTATATGCCTATATTTTCCAAACAATTAATTTCCGATCCCGATATCAACCTATACCAATATATGCAACCGTTTGCCTCCAAAACTGAGGTAAACGTCTCAGTGGCGTAAAGGTGTTTCCAGCATATTAGGTAAAACACAGGGATCGTGTTATCAGATTTTCATTATCGGAGCAAAACCTATAACGTCTTACCGATATTACATAGTTATGCTAATGTCGGCCGATCGATAATATCGGACATCCCCAGTAAGGATGTGTCGATGACAGGATGTACGTGAGCTAGCAGGACAGCAGAGGGTGCAAAAGTGCCAACTTTGACTGAAGAATATTTTCATACTTCAGCAGTTCTCAAAGTTTTTACACCTCATACTACCTTCTAAAGTATTGATCTTTCCCTGGCACTAACAGTAAAACACAGCAGCACCAGTTCAGCTAAGACCAGTCTATGGAAATGTATTCATTTTATTAGATTATTGGAAAATTAATTTTAGAAAATACAAAGCAAAATACAAAATCTGCCCCGTCCCCAACCCTTGATCTCTTAAAACCAACCTCTGTTATTTTAGTGACTTTAGTGAGCCTTGATCTCTTAAAACCAACCTCTGTTTGACACACATTAGTGACGAACACATATTCGCTAATAAACAGTAATATATTTGGAAAATCTTAAATTAAATGTAATAAATAGAAAAATTACTCATTCATTTATACATTTAAAAAACTAAGCAAGATAAATACAAAAACATGGAAATGAATTTGAAATTTTGTTATAAAGTACTGCACAAGGATGAAAAATTGTAAACATTGATTTATCACATGATATTCTGTGTTCAACCCTGAATAGTTAAATTGTTGTACACAACAATACAGTACTAGTGTATACTAGTATTCTTCTGTTGTGTGAACAAAAAGTGCAATATTCGAATATATGACAGCTGCATTTCCCGACAAACTGACTCATCTAACCCTAGCTACAGGGAGCTCAAGGACAACCTGTGGTACGCATCCCATAGGTTGAGAACCACCATCGTAGATACTCAGTTTGTCAGTTTGGTGGAGGAGTGTTTTTTATCGTCTTTTTCATGCAACAAAAGAAATTCCTTGAGATCATAAAAAATAATTTCTGTTTCCCTAAAGTCCAAGAAAAGTCAAATTTTGAAGACAACTTATAAGATTTCTGGGAATTGTCTTCACATTCAGGACAAAATCAGTGCCTGTCAGAAATTGTTGGTGTCACGGATTAATCTTCTCATATTTCCAGGCTGGGCCAACACTGCACCGATGTATGTGGACGGGACTCTGTTGTTGTTCGTTTTTTTTGTTTTTTGTGGTTTTTATGATTTGACTCTTTTCAGACTTGATAATTGCACAGTATTAATGACCTCATCTAACCTGTTGAGCTTCATCAATATCACGAGAAGAAACCTCAACATTAAATGTGTCCATGAAAGATAAACTCCACTGCTTCTCACTCTTGTGTGTGATTTCTTAGAATCCTCAGTCTAAGACCACGACTGGTCACAGACTCAAGCTGTTTTGGTTGTTGTTTTGTGATGTTTCAGATACACTAGGGGGTGCTCACAGTCCAAAGAAAAAAGCCCTGTAGACATTGATATGGTTTCAGTCTCAGACTTTGACTCTGACTTTATTTTCCTTCATACGAAGACACACACCCACACACATGCATAAAGGAAGTACAACTATCAGTTTAAGAGCAGCCTTTGTTCTGATACGTCAACACCTTAATTATTGCACTAGTATTGTCTTTTTTTCCTACGACGTGTTTAACCTCGCTACACATCTCTATCGGGAGCTGTTGGTTCCTGAAATAAGAATTGCGACTGTTATCCAGCTTACCATCGGGGATTCTGTGAGCGATTTTGAGGTCTATCTAAAAACTACCATCGTGAATATCGACACTTGGCCACACTTTTCCGTCCTGTCTCGACATTCGTGCATTCAGGCGGTTCTAAAGTCTTTGGTTGGAAAACAGTGGAGTTTGAGAAGGTGAGTGAAGAAGTTCACAGCTGATGAGTTTCTGTAGATTTGAACCTAAAACTACACTCTTCTGGTGTGACTCAACAAGCTCAGGTCTCTGTAGACCAGGAAACCTAGATCCTGGACACTGCTGTGAGACTTGTTGTCTTTCGTTGATACTGTCCTCTCTGTCCAACCTTGTTCTTCTGGTCTCAGAGACACTGGTGGAGAATTCGGTTTGAATCCTGTTGGTGTTTTTAACACTGTCACTGTTGCTCCTACTGTGTAGACATGGCTGCTGCTGCTGCTGCTGCTGCTGCTGCTAACCTGGGAGAAGATCAGTTCCTGTGCTCCATCTGTCTGGAGGTCTTCACTGATCC